ATTTCAGAAGACCTTGCATAATTTGAGGTTTCAAATATTTTTTCTCCAATTTTTTCTATTGGAAGTCTTATGGTTTTAGCTCTTGTCTTTAGGTCTATGACACTTTTTGAATTCATATTTTGTGTGGCATGAGGGAAACATCCCAATACATCTTTTTGCATGTGGATATCTGATGTGCCAACACCAACTCTTGAAAAGACTATACCTTTCCCCATTGAATTGCCTTGGTTCTTTTGAAAATATCAATTGATCATGAGTTTATTAATGGATTTAAGCTTTTGTTCTACTGATCTATTTTTCTGTCTTCATGCCACTCTCTTCATTACTATCGTTTTATAGTATGTTTTGAAATTTGAAGATGTTTCCTTTTTCAATTAAGTTCTCTGCTATTTTTAGTCCAAAATGAAGATGAAACACTGATGAATGTTGGACTCTCATGCTTTAGGTGTGCTTCCTTTTTCGATTGCTTGGTTCTCTGCTATTTTTAGTCCAAACTGAAGATAAAATTTGAAGATGTTAAGTCTTCTCATTTTGATGTTTAAAAAAATGTATCTTGGCTATTTTGGTTCCTTTGCATTTCCATATGAATTCTAGAATCTACTTGAAAATTTCTCAAAAAGAAAAACAAAACAAAAACCTGGAATAATTCTGTTAGGAATTGTGTTGAATCTGTCAGTAACCTTGGGTTGAATTGCCATTTTAAAGTCTTATTTATTTATGTATTTATTTGTCAGAGACAGCGAGACAGAGAACATGAAAAAGGAGGGGGAGCTTCAGGCAGAGGGAGAAGCAGACTCCCCACAGATCAGGGAGTCCTATGTAGAACTCAATCCCAGGACCCTGGGATCATTACCTGGCCCAGGGCAGATGCTTGACCCTCAATTGCCATTTTAATATTAGACTTTCTATTCATGAGCATAGAATGTTTCTCTTTTTACTTATATCGTCTGTGTTGTCTCAACAATGTTTTGTAGTTTTAGTGTACAAATCTTTCACATTTTCATTAAATTTCTTCTTATTTGACATTCTTTGAAATTGTGAATGAATAGTTTAATTTCATTTTAGACATGATTAGAGTTTGTGTGTCAATCTTGTTTTTAATCCTGTAACCTTACTGAATTCATTGGTCAAGTTCTAGTAGACTTTTGTGGACATTTGTATGATTTTCTACAGGAATATTGAGTCAACTGTAAATTACAGGAGATTTGCTTCTTTTTTCAAATCTGGATTCTTTTTTTTTAAACTAACTGCATAGAATCTCAATTACAATGTTGAATAAAAATAGCAAAAGCAGATATCCTTGCCTTGATTCCTACCATGAAGTGAAAAAAACACATTATTTTATTATTAAATATTTCATCTCGTGTATTTTTCATAAATAGATATACTTTATTAGGTTGAAAACTGCCCATCTGTTTCTAGTTCATTGATTTTTTTTTATCATGATGGTATTCGATTTTATAGAATGCTTTTTCTGTGCCTATTGAGATGATTATGTCATTTTGTTGATTATTTTATTAGTATGGCTTGTTACATTAATTGATGTTCACACATTAAGCTAATCTTACATCCTAGGCACAAACCCCACTTGATAGTGATCTATAATCCTTTTTGTATGTCTTATTATATTCTATTTGTTAGTTTTTATTGATAGTTTTTGCATTTGTATTCATAAAAGATATTTGTGATATTTTTTCTGGCTTTGAAATCAGTGTGATACAATCCTCCTAGAATAAGTTTAAAAATATCTCTCCCTCCTTTATTTTCTAGAGGATTTTGATGAATATTGCTATTATTTATTTTTTAAAATTTTGGTAATGTACATCAGTAAAGCCTACTGGGACTGGAAATTTCTTTGATGAAATTTTATAATTATTAATAATTCTTATAATTGTATCACTAATAAGTAACTAAGATATTAACAAATTAGTAAATTTTAGTTAGTAAATAAGTAAATTAGCAAATTAACAAATTAGTAAATATTAATAAATTAGTAAGTTTTATTACTTAATACTTAATAATTAATTAATTAATATTACTATTTATTGGTAATAAATTAATAAATAAGATATTAAATATTGCTTGTTAGAGCTCTATCTAGATTTTCTATTCCTTAAGTCATTGTCAGTAATTTGTATTTTAAAGAATTTTTGCATTTCATCTAAGTCTAATTTAGTGGCATAGGGATTTTCATAGAAATCCCATTTTAGCCTTCTAATTTCTGAGAGTTTAATAGTGATGTCCTGTCTTGCAAAACCCCCTCATGTGTATGTGTGAGTTGATTATTGTGGCTTTAAATTTTTTTCTCTTTTTCTTTTTTTTTAAGTCTTTAATTTTTTTTTTTTAATTCCAGTTAGTTCACGCACAATGTAATATTAGTTTCAGGTGTATAGTTTAATGATTCAGAACTTCCACACAACACCTGGTGCTCAATATAACAAGTGCCTGTGCTTCTTATTATTGACCTTTGCTGACTTTTCTAAGAAGGAACATTTATTTAACTGACTGACACAGTCAAATATTGAATTTAAATTTTTCTTCATTGATTGATCTTTTTATAAAGGTTTTATTTATTTATTAGAGAGAGAGAGCATGAAGGGGTGGAGGCACAGAAGGAGAAAGGAGGAGCAGACTCCCCACTGAGCAGAGAGTCCACAACATGGCTACAGGACCCTGAGAACATGACCTGAGCCAAAGGCAGATGCTTAACCAATAGAACCACCCAGATGCCCCTTCTTCATTGATTTCTAATTACATTACTTTTGATTGCTTCAAACTCAGTTTATTATTTACTTTTTGGTCTCTTTAAGGAGAAGCTTAGTTTATTGGTTTAATTAGTAATTGGTTTAATTCTCCTTTTCTATAGAAGACATTTAAAACTCTACATTTCCCTTTAGGCTCTGCTTTTAGCTGCAGCCAGTAGATTTTGGTATGTAATATTTTCATTTTCATTGAACTCAAAATAGCTTCTAAATTATCCTTTGATTTCCTTTTATTTCCCACAGATTATTTATAAATATATTGTTTAATACCAAATTTTTCTTTATTTCTAAAATTTGCTCCTGTTTTCACTTTCAACTTGATTCCACTGTAATGAGATAAGATCCTTTTATGGACATTTTTTATTAATCATTTTAGTTTTTCCTGAGTGTATCTCAATTTGCTGTGTGCCCTTGTCATTTGCCTTTGTGCATTTTTAGAATTCAAAAGTTCCAATCTGAGAACTTTTCCAGTCTTATTGTTGCTTTGGGAGAGAGAATTTATCAAGCCATTCATTAAGTCATTACAGAAGCCCTCTGCTTCATGTCCCTTTTTTTTTTTTAAGATTTTATTTATTTATTTGACAGAGATCACAAGTAAGCAGAGAGGCAGGCAGAGAGAGAGAGGAGGAAGCAGGCTTCCTGCTGAGCAGAGAGCCCTATTCAGGGATCAATCTCCGGACCCTGGGATCATGATCCGAGCCGAAGGCAGAGGCTTTAACCCACTGAGCCACCCAGGAACCCTGCTTCATGTTATCTTTGAAAACTTTTTAATCTGAATTTCGTAGATCTCTCATATATTTCCTCCTAGTTAGCTTCATGTAGCAATAATTATATCCAAAATAACTGTAGACATATTTGCAGATCTGATTTATTTTCTTATACATCTCCTTTTATGGTTGGTTTCTTGAAGCCACCTGAAGCAACTATGAAAAATTCATCATTTTAACTTGTTCTTTTCCTTAAGTCACTTTGTTCAATAAAGAAATTGCGCTCTTCCTTTGTGCTAAAAACACACTATTTAACTTCATCTCTTCTCCAGAGTGGTCTAGAAAAGTGATTGCCATACTTGTTCTGTAAAGATCCATATTATAAATAGTTTAAGGTTTGTGGGCTGTATGGTCTGCTCACAATTACTCAGTGGTGCCTTGTACACTAAAGAGCCATAGGCAATACATAATGAATTAGTGTGGCTGTCTTCCAATAAAACTGTATTTACAAAGACAGTTGATGGGCTGATTCTTAGTTTAGAAAAGATCACCTTTTTAAACTCTAATAATTGCCCATTTATTGGAGTTTTTCTATTTATTTTTATTTATGCCAGAAAAAAAGTAAATAATTATTTTGAGAATGAATAGGTTTTTCAATAAGATGTCAATAACAGATTCAATGAGCGCTCTCTTTTCAAATACATTCCTTCATATCTGCAGTGTTTAGGAACACATGATATGCTTTCCAAATGATCATAGGAAAAAGTTTTAGCAAATGTTTTCTCTACTTATTATGGATGTCCATGTTTGTGGTCAGTTTTATCTGTTTTGTCATGTCTATTACCTAAGCACTAAACCAGACCACACATTTTCTTGTTTAATAGTAGCATTTTCATCTTTAGGCTGTACTTTCTGCATTGAGTAGTATAATTAACTTTGTTTTTTGTAAAAATACCTATATCTCCATGGTTAACACAATGGCTTGGTAATCCTCACTTTTGCAAATGATAATATGAGAATATCTGGTTCTATGGCTCTCCTGGGCAACTCCCTTCAAAATAGTACCTCTGAGAACCAGGAATCTTCTGATCTCCTATATTATTCATTTTTAGAGTCTTTGCTCTTAGCCTTGTACCTAGGGAAGGAGTGGGAAAGTGTTACAATGGGAACGAGAATGAAAAAAATATCATATGAACTATTTTATTGTCAAAAGTATAAATGGTATATTTCCACTGTGGACATTTTATTGACCATATCTCAGTCACATAAACTCACCTAAATGCAATGGGATGGGGAATGGAAACATGTAACTTCATTGCCTATTTAAAAAGGATAATTATTTTGGGACATCTCTATTCAATACCAAAGAAAATACAAGTTAAAGGAATTAATTCTTATGGGAATATTTAACAAGATAAGCAGTGAAAACTTTAGGTCAAGCAGAAGTTACTGAATAAATTTGGGAAATAAACAAAATAAGTGTTAGAGGGAAGAAATTACCTCTTGTGCCAATAAATTCAAATATTAGGGCTGATGATGCATATTTATGTTCTTTTCAGACTGGAGGAAAGAATTTTTCCAGGCTGGTGAGTCATTCCCTGGTGGTCTAAGAGGGCCTCTACTCCTTATGCTCCAGCTCAGTCTCTGGAGAAGTTTCTGAAGGGCAAATGAAAAACTCCACTGAGAATATATACACCTCCCACAGCCCCAAGATATCTCAGGCTAACACAGCTATCTCTGTTTCCAGGATCACTCTAACCTTTTCAGAGAATATTATTCTGTCTTTCAGAGAATATTATTGTCTTTGCAGCAAATGTTATTCTAGATCCAGTCACAGCCCATCCTGCACTCATCTTGTCTGAAGAGAACAGATGTGTAAGCTGTGGAAAGAAGACTCAAGATCTGCCTAAGGACCCACAGAGATTTAATTCCATTCCCTGTGTTCTAGGACACCCAGTCATCACCTCAGGGAGGTGTTACTGGGAAGTAGACATCAGAGATAGTGGAGCCTGGGACCTGGGAATATGCAGGAATAACGTAATGAGGCAGGGGAGGATTTGTATAAAACCTGAGGATGGTTTCTGGGCCATCAGGTTTTATAAAGATGAGTACTGGGCACTCACTTCTCCAGAAATGCAGCTTACTGTAAGAGAGCACCCTACCAGAATGTGTATTTTCTTAGAATACGAGGATGGACGTATCTCATTCTACAATATGACAGATAAATCCCACATTCACACCTTCTCTCAAGGTTCCTTTAATGGGTCTGTAAGGCCTTTTTTCAGGCTTTGGCTCAATGATTCAAAACATTTGACCATCTGTCCAGTGCCTGAAGCATAGCCCTTACTGTGGTCCCTCCCTTATATTAGCAGCATCCTAAGACCTTCAGGTCAGTCTGGATTGAAGTACGAAGACATGACATGAATTCTCCTATACCAGAAACAAATTATTTTTTCTTGTCCTTTTCTTTGATTCTCCCTAACATTTTATCTCCTTCATCAATGACTCCTCAAAGGCATGGTGCAGCATGGAAAAATGTGTTGCTTATGCTATGTTTAATGAAAATGAAAATGTATATACATATAAAACATATGCACATTCATATAATATAACCATTTTATTACTATAAATGTACACAAGTAACTAGTGTGTGTGATTGCCCAAACAATGTTGAAACTTCTTTAATATCTGACAAAGGTAGGAATAAGGAGAATAACCTTTTATTTTATACTCTTTTTTATCTTTGGGTTTTGAACTGTGTATAAAATAATATGCAGAAAAATAAAATTAGTTTCAAATACATGAATAATTGAAGTGTTCTCAGTTGTCTAATCAGTAAGACATTCACAGGGAAGTAAATATTTCCTAGTTTATCACTCAATTTATCATTTCCTTTTCATGAAATTCATTCTTACACTTTTTATTCTCTTTACTCTCTTATGAAATATGGATTCATTCCTTTCTGTTCCTATCACCATTTATATTTTTAGAGGCCATTTTCTTAATTTACATGTAGTCGAATTGACTTTTTACAATACAAGCCTGTGAGTTTTAACATTTTTAGAAACTCATGTGGCCAGTGCTACACTCAAGATACAAGATAAGGACATAAGTCCCTTTGTCCCCATACACACTTTTATGTTGTTCTATTGTAGTCAAACTTTTTGTAAATACCCTACCAGCAAAACAACAACAACAACAACAACAACAACAACAAAACCAAAGAACCAAAAAACAGATTTCTGTCCCTATGCTTTTGTATTTTTTAGATGTCACAAAAATAAAACGTTATATTTGGAGATTGCTTTTCATTCAGAATGAGGCTGTTGATGTTCATCCATGTTAATGTAGGCATTAGTACTTCATTTCTAATATTTGCTGAGTAGTGTTCTATTGAATGAATATACCACAGTTTGTCTCTTCACTCACTGAATACCATTTATGTTGTTTCCATGTTGGGATTGTAATCAATAAAGCTGCTATAAACACTCATGTGTACTTTTTTTGTGTGGACATTATTTTTCACGTTTTTATAATAAATACCTAAAAATGGAATTACTGGGTCATCTGGTAAGAGTGGTTTCAACTTTGTAAGAATAGTGAGACTCTTTCCAGAGGAGTTTTACCATTGTGAAGTCCCACAAGAAACATATGAGAGCTCCAGCTGCTCCACATCCTTACCCGTGCCTGGTACTGTCAGTTTACCTTTTGTTTGTTTGTTTCATTTTTCTTTTATTATTTAATATTATTTATAATAATTTATAGTGATATTTCACTAAATTTTTGCTTGAATTTCTCTAATGGGTAGTAAAGCATCTTTTCTTGGGCTTGTATACCATTTGTGCATCTTCTGCATGAAGTGTCTGTTTGAATCCATAGTCTATTTTCTAAACATTTCAATAGACTTTACTTGAAGAGAAGTTTAAGGTTTACCAAAAAATTGTGCAGTAAGTACAAAAAGTTTATATATGTATCCACTCTTCCCTAGTGGAATTTCACCTAGTAATGTCTTGAAGTAGTGCTTTTGTTAGAATTGAGGAACCAATTTGATAGATTATTGTTAACGAAATTACATCATTTACATTAGACCCACTCTTTGTTGTACCTTCTATGGGGATTTTGACAAATAAGTAATGTCATGGCATTACAGTACCATACAGAATAGTTTTGTGCCCCTAAATATGTTCTGTGATCCACCCATTTCTTCTTCTTCTCCTCCTTCTGACTTCTGGAAACCCCTTATCTTTTTACTCTTTCAATAGTTTTGCCTTTCCCAAATGTCAGATAGATGAAATTATACAGATAAGTAGCTTTTTTAGAATGGTTTCCTTCACTTAGAAAAATGCATTTAAGGTTTTACCATGTATTTTTGTTGCCTGATAGCACACTCTGTCTTATTGTTAAATAATATTTCTTCATAAGAATATACCATACTTGGTGTGTGTATCCATCCTTCTGGTGAAGGACATTTGGGTCCTTCTAGTTTGGAGCAATTATGAATAAGGCTGATATAAATACTCAAGTGTAAATCATTTGTGGACATACATTTTCAACTCATTTGTGTAAATACGTAGGAGTATGATTGCTGTACCCTAGTGTATGACTATCAACAAGGAATTAGAGTTCCTGTTGTTTCATATCCTTGACAGTATTTAGTTTTAGATTTTCATGTTCTAACAGGTGTGTCATGGTACCTCATTGTTTAAATTACAAATTCTGTAATGACATATGATGTAGGACATCTTTTCATATGCTTATATTCTAGTCATTATGAGAGATGTAAGGTCTATCTATAGATTATTTATTTTTTTTTGCATGTGGATGTCCAGTTGTTCCAGCACCATTTGTTGAAAAGAATCTCCTTTCTTTATTGACTTGCCTTTGCTCCTTTATGAAAGATCAGTTGACTATGTATGTGTGGATCTATTTCTGAAAGTAGTCCATTTGAGAAGCATGTTTGTTTCTCATTGTTTAGTTCTAAGAGTTCTTTATGTATTTTAGATACAAGTCCTTTATTGGATACATAATTTGCAAATATTTTTTACCAGCCTCAAGCTTGTCTTTTCATTCTTTTAACAGTACATTTTGCAGATAAAAGTTTTTACTTTAAATTCAACTTATACTTTCTTTCTTTTATGGATCGTGATTTTTGTGCTGTTTCAAATACTATTAGACTTTAAAAAAATCAAAAATTTTCTGCTGTATATTTTTTTTAAAGTTTAACTATTTAACATTTTATATTCAGATCTATAATCTATTTGGAATTAGATTTTTGTTAGGTATAGAGTTTGAGTCAAGTTTACCTTTCTTGCATATGGATATCTGTTATGTAATGAATTGTGTTCCCAAAAAAGATATATTAAAGTCCCTATCCCTGGTACCTGTGAATGTGACCTTATTTGAAAGTAAGGTCTTCACAGAATTTTGGAACGAAAAATAGATGCATTTTCATTATACAAAACAAATGATATTTTCATATTCCACTAATGGCTAATTTAAAAATGAAATTAAATGCAATATAATTTAATAGGACATGAAAAAAACACACTGCCAAATAATACATTTAACAAGGGATGTTATATATACAAATGACTAATAAACACACTAATTTTTTTAAATTTTATTGTAATTCCAGGTAGTTAACATACAGTATTATATTAGTTTCAAATTATACAATAAAGTGATTCAACAGTTTAGCTCATTACCTAGTGCTCATCATGCCAAGTGCACTCCTTAGTTCTCATCACCTGTTTCACCCATCCTTCCACCCCAATCCCTTCTGGTAACCATCAATCTGTTCTCTATAATTAAGAATCTGTTTCTTGGTTTGTCTCTCTCTTTTTTCCCCCTTGCTCACTTGTTTTGTTTCTTAATTCCACATATGAGTGATATCATACGGTATTTGAGTTTCTCTGACATTTCACTTAATATTATACTCTCTAGATCCATTCATGTCACCGACAATGCAAGATTTCATTCTTTTTTATGGCTAATCTTCCATTGTGGAAAATTCTTTATCTTTTTATCAATCAATGGACACTTAGGCTGCTTCCATATCTTGACAAATATAAACAATGCTGCTATAAACACAGGGCTGCATATATCCCTTTAATAAAGTGTTTATTACTATGCAAATTAAAACAATTGTGAGATACCACTATACACTACCAGAATGAGATACCACTATACTCCTGCCAGTAGATGGAATTAAAAAAGAGTGACAGCACCAAATGTTGAAAGCCTGTGAGGCAATGAGGACTTCCATACATTGATGAAACTACTGTTTATGAAACAACCTGTTTGGACAATATCTGCCTATTGAATATATGCCTATCCTATGATCCACCAATATTGTCGCAAAGTATTTATCCAAAAATATAAAAACATGTTCATGAAATGACTTGGTTTGATTAACCAGAATATGTTTAGTTATTGTTCAATGCTATAATAAAAAATACATAGTTTCAGAATTGCTCAACCATACAACTAAGAAAAACCTCTTAACTGGTTTAATTAATATTTATACCCTCCCCATTTTTAGCCTGAGAATTTATACTCAAAATAATGTATTTAGGAGTTAATTGGAATAATTGTATTTCCTTTCAGTGTGCTTATATCATTCATGAGAAATTTGGCTAATTGTATTTGTTAGTGTCTGAATTTTAGTTTTTTTTTTTTTTATTTTTGTTGATTTGTTGTTAAATATATGAGGGACTAATTTGTTTTCAAGCAAGAAAAACTGTATAAAAGGGATATTAGGAGGAGGTTCACACCCTCCCAATAATTCTATCTACACAAAACACTTCTTTCCACTCTGATCCCACCCCACCTCCATCAGTAGTCATTTTGTTAGTTTCTAGTTTATCCTACAGCTCAAAATAAAGACACAGTCCAAAATTTTGTCACTTAGGTGACAAATCAGTACACTAGGATTTAATAACTAACAACTATAGTTTTAACACCCAAGAAATGTAACTTTTAACCAGGTCACATGGAATTTTTTGGTCAGCACTATCAAATTTACAGTTAGAATCCTACTGTTCCCTTCAGGGGTGACCTTGTCTAAAACAATGGATTACTTTGTTAGCAATTTCATTTTCTCCACTTCCTCTCTATCTTTAAAAACTTTTCCTTTTTCTGTAGCTCCCCTTTTTGAAGCTCTCCTCTATTTGCTGATTGGGATGCTGCATGATTTAATATTTACTTGATTTTTGTTGTTGTTGTTGTTGTTGTTTGACAGGTTTGGGAGCAGTGGTGGGATTCAAAATGAACTTCCAGCAGCATTTGGAAGCAAAGAGAAAGACAGGCTTGGTATTCTCAAACCCGCAGAGTTCACTGTCTTTCTCCTGTTTCTGAGGACTGTGGGTAAGTTCTCCTCAGTTCTGAGCTATGCTCTTTTTGCATTCTTGTTCCCAATCTAATCATCTTTCCTTTACAGTGCAGGAAAGCTTGAGCTGAAATATGATTATGCTTGGAACACAACTGAGCTGGCAGTTCTGCCTGTAGCCAGATGAATAAGCAGTTTTGCCAGAAC